TGTAATTATTTGTAATCAATTTTAATGTTGCTCGATTCCTTTTGGAGTCGCTTATTATCTAGGGTTTAGGGTTTAAGGGTTTAGGGTTTAAGGGTTTAGGGTTTAGGGTTTAGGGTTTAGGGTTTAGGTGTATAAGAATGGCTCTGAAGACTTCAGCTCTTCCTGGGGACTTTGTTAACTTCTATGCGTGGTATGGCCTCGTACCTTCTTTCTCTTCTGCTGCTGACGAGGGTTTCTCTCTTTCTTGTCTCGACGAGTGGTTTGGGTGGAGGGTTGCAGGCATCAACGCCCTATGGTTACCCAGAATTCATCATGCAAGTAGGGTTTAGGGTTTAGGGTTTAGGGTTTAGAGGTTTAGGGGTTAGGGTTTGGGGATCTAGGGTTTAGGGTTTAGGTTTTGGGGGGAGGGGTTTAGCGCGGTTTGTTGTAAGGGTTTAAGGTTCACAGAAATCCCAGGGTTTAGGGTTTAGGGTTTAGGGTTTAGGGTTTAGGGTTTAGGGTTTGGAGTGCATGTGTTTCAGATGAAGATATCAGCGGGGTGTGGATGCGGAGCCTAGATAGGCTGATGCAGTGTCGTGCTGCAGCAGCAGCAGCACCAGCAGACCGCCCCAAGCTGCTGCAGCAGATGTTTCTGCAGCAGCACCCCCCCAACGACGTGTTCAAGTACAAGAAACCCCCTGAAATATAAGGGTTTAGGGTTTAGGGTTTAGGGTTTAGGGTTTAGGGTTTAGGGTTTTTTCAGCGGCTTCAGAATGACAAACCCACGCAGCTGTCTGTACACCCCAACACAGACAGCAGCAGATATAGAAGAACTCCTCCTTGCTGCTGCAGCCCCTNCAGCAGCAGCAGCAGCAGCAGCAGCAGCAGCAGCAGCACGGGGTTTGCAGCAGCAGCAAGAGGCGAACTGCCTTGGGACGAAGTGCTGCTGCTGCTGCAGCAGTGGGGAGTGTTCCGGCTGCAGCAGCAGCAGCTCTGCGGTCAGCTGCAGCAGCTTGAGCAGCAGCGGCTGCTATTTGAGGAGGCCCCTGCAGCAGCAGCAGAAGCAGCAGCAGCAGAAGCAGCAGCAGCAGCAGCAGCAGCAGCTGAAGCAGAAGCAGCTCGTATAGCGGCTGTCAGCGAGATAAACCCTCTCGAGGCCTTGGAGCTATTCGGCGCAGCTCTGCAGCAGCAGCAGCAACAGCAGCAGCAGCAGCAGCTGCTGCTGCAGCAACCGCAGCAACGATGCAGCAGCAAAGTGCTCGCAGCAGCAGCAGCAGCAGCTCCGGGCTCTCTTGACTGCATGCTGCTGCATCTAGACGATCAAATAGCTGCAGCAAAAACACGGATAGCTGCAGCAGCAGCAGAATTCAGCAGCAGCAGCAGCATCACCACTGCGCTGCGGCTGCAGCTGCTGGCGCAGGCTGCCTCTCAGTCTCTCTTCCCGCGTCGGCTTGCTGCTGCTGCTGCTGCTGCAGCAGCAGCAGCGAAACGCAAAAGTAAACAGCGGAGCAAGCGGAGTGCTGCAGCAGCAGCCAAAGCATCAACCCAGCAACAGGAGCAGCAGCAGCAGCAGCAGATACAGCAGGACCAGCAGCAGCAGCTGCTGCTGCAGCAACAGCAGCAGCAGCAACCAAAGCAGCAGCCGCAGCGAGAACTGACTGCAGAGGAGGCAGCAGCAGCAGCAGCGCAAACAGCAGAACTGCAGCAGATTGCTGCTGCATGCTACAGCTTGGTGCGTTCTACAAAGGCTTATGCTGCCTTTGCTGCTGCTGCTGCTGCTGCTGCTGCAGCAGCAGCAGCAGCAGACGACCCCTTAGGCTGCGATGCGGATGCCTACTGGCGCGAAATTGAGTCGCTCCCTCCTCTCAACGAAGCAGCAGCAATTGCTGAGAAAGCAGCAGCAGCAGCAGCAGCAGCAGCTGCTGCTGCTGCTGCTGCTGCTAAGAAAGAGGGGGGCGCGGATGGATGAAACGCAGCGCACGCAGCTGCTGCTGCAGCAGCACTTTGCTGTAGCTGTCTTTTGCTTTTACTGCGACAGCAGCTGCAGCAGCAGCAACTGCAGCAGCAGCTGCTGCAGCAGCTGCTGCAGCAGCAGCTCGTGGTTGTTTCAGAGACCGTTACTAAAAGAGTTTTTAGGGTTTAGGGTTTAGCGCNCTGCAGCAGCAGCTCGTGGTTGTTTCAGAGACCGTTACTAAAAGAGTTTTTAGGGTTTAGGGTTTAGCGCTAGGTTAAACAAATGACGATGCAGCATTAGGGTTTAGGGTTTAGGGTTTAGGGTTTGAGCGCCCAGAGGGGAGGCTGCAGCTGTCGAGTCCGTCAACGAAGCAGCGCAGCAGCAGCTAGCTAGCCGGCTAGCTAGCCAGCTAGCTAGCCAGCTAGCTAGCCAGCTAGCTAGCCAGCTAGCTGCCCAGCTCGCCACATGCGTCAACAGCAGCAGTCCCTCCCCAAACCAACAAATACACTAGCTAGCGGTCCAGCTAGCCAGATAGCTAGCTAGCTAGCTAGCTAGCTAGCTAGCTAGCTAGCTATTAGTATGAAGATAGTCATTATCTGCCACCGAGTCCAGCGAAATGTCTCATCATTTCCTGCATATCTCCCGCGTCGCCAGACTGCAGCTGCAGATACACCCCAACAGCAGCAGCAGCAGCAGCAGCAGCAGCAGCATCAGCAGCAGCAGCAGTTAATATCTTCTCTTTGATGTTTTTGGGTTGCCTGCTGTATCGCTGCAGCTTCTGTGCATCGCTGTCTATGCTTCGGCTATTTGTGTGTGTATACACGTATACACACATGCATACATGCACAAATAAAATA